AAATTTGGTGCGGAATTTAAAGAAACGCTATCCCAAAGGTTGCATTGCATTGAATCCTTAAGCGAAGTGCATTCCAGATGGCATTGATGGCCATCACGGCCACCATGTGAATACAAATCAAGGGCTATGGGTTACGTTTACACAACATCGGCTCATCGCCATCACCACCACACCATGGCATCGCCACGAATGAGTAACGCGAATGGCTGAAACGAAGCAGCCAGCCGTGTGTGAGTGTGAGGCAGCCATGTAAGGCCGGGCAACAAAACTTTCATCATCGTTCGGTCGGTCGGTAGTTCGGTATAGTCGTGTAGCCGTGCAGTCGTGTGTGGTAAGTGGCAAGTAAAACACCAAAAGGAGGTGCTGCATTCAAATAGACCCACCAGGAGACGGCCAAAGAACAACAAAGTGCAGAAGAGTGCATTGAAATGCAAAAGGCATTCCCCCAAAAAAATCTAAAAAAAACTCTCATACTCGTCCTACACTTACTTTTCGCCACATTCATTGATTCGACGACGCATCGCAGTGGAAATAAAGAAAAAATACAAATAAAATAAAAAAATCTGAACAGAAACTGTGTCTAAAGATTTTAAAATATTGGTCAGTGCGAAACGTGAAAAGGAAAACGTGAAACCGAAAAATAAAAAAAAACAAAAAATCGGAAAAAATAAGAAAGTGATTTTCACGTCAAAAAACAATTAATAAAAAATATATATTTTTATACTCCTCTCAAACGAAAAATTTTATGCAATATGGCTAAAATGTTTGCCAGCAAGAAGGTAAGACAACGAAGAGATTTTTTTTTTGCAAAAAATCAATATAACAGCTAACAAGAGTCACTAAAATTGAAACACTTTAATTAAAAAAAATAAATAAAAAAATAAAAATCTATTTTTCTGTATCCGTAGAAAATTAAAATTATTTTTTAATTTTCCAATTTTTCTATATATTTAATTTTTTTTGCCATATCCTCTCTAGCCGTAGAACAATAGATTATTTTTCTGTTTGTTGGTGTGTGTGTGTGTTTGATATTTTTACCGCTATTTTTATGGGTAGTTATGGGGGGCATAGCAGCAGCAGCTGCTGTCTCATTACGTTTTTAATAGTCTCTGAGTAGTAGTGATGTTGTTGTTGTTTTTGGTATTGTTGTTTTTGTGGCTTTAACTTTTGTTTTAGCTGTTGCCTGCCTACACCAATACGAGTTGGCAGTTACTACTATACAACACATACGTATATGGCAATTTTAGAGAGCGAAATAGCTAAAGAGAGTAAGAGAAATAAACAAACGAATTGAAAATGAATTAATTTAGGGATGCCAAGATTTGAAAAAAATAAGAATCTTCAAGATCTGAATTATTTTTATTTCTAAAAAAAATAAAAAAACCAGTGAGCGGAGCAGTATAGTCGGACGGGGCCGACCATACGATACCCTACACAACTACGACGGAACTCTAACTTTCTGCGAAGTTTTATTCCGAACCTCGGCAATATTTCGTGATAGTTGCACTCTTTTTCTCGATATTAGGTCAACAGCACCTCTTCCTTACTCTGACATACTTTTCGTGGCCTGTAGATCGACTAGAAAAAAAAAAATATATATATATATAGTTTTCTGTCCACTTCAACCCAAAATTACTATATGATCATTACCGAAAATTATAGGCGTTGTCCTTGACCATAACCGGAAACTCATGGAACATTTAAAAATTCGCGAATTTGAGCCATAATTGCGGCCTCTGGAGCGACCAGAAAAACCATTTCATCCCCTAAATATTAACCGATCTTTTCCAAAAACAATAGGGGTATTCATTGGCCAGAACCAATCCTACATGTAAAATGTAGTGAAGATTGGTCGATAACTGTTGTCTGTATCGTGTTTACAATTTATAATGGACAGACGGACGGACACACATGTCTAGATCGATTCAGCTTGTCGAGATATGACGATCGGAGTACTTAAAGGTGGGTACTGGTATAAAAACACTGTGTACAGGGTATTATGTCTTTGTGCATATGTTTGTAACAGGCAAAAGGAAACGAGACATGGTTCCTTTTTAGAATATGCATAGAATCACGGACGGACATGCATAAATCGACTAAGAAGATTTATGCATGTCCGTCCGTCTGTCTGTCTGTGCATGTTAAATTGTAAACAAAGTACAGGTCGCATTTATGATCCGAATTGGATGAAATTTGGCATAGGTCACTTATTCGGCCCAAGGACGAACCCTATTGAAATTGGGAAAAATCGGTTCAGATTTAGATATAGCTCCCATATATATATTTAACCGATTTAATGTAAACAGTCCCTATATATCTTTCGATTTGCACGAAATTTGGTACAGCCTAATCATTTAGGTCTAGAATTATGTCTGCAAAGTTTCGTGAAAATCGGTCCAGATTTAGATATAGCTTCCATATATAGTTTCGTCCGATTTCATGTAAATGGTGCACCAAAGTCCCTATATATCCCTATAAATTTGGCATAACGTACTGAATTAAGCCTAGAGAGATGTCTGCCAATTTTCGAGAAAATCGGTCCAGATTTCTATAGAGCTCCCATACCTATTTTCGTCCGATTTAATGTAAATGGTGCACCAAAGTCCCTCTTTATCCTTCGATTTGCACTAAATTTGGCATAGTGTACTGAATTAAGCCTAGAATTATGTGTGCTAAGTTTCATGAAAATCGGTTCAGATTTATATATAGCTCCCATATATTTTCGTCCGATTTAAGGAAAATGGTGTATCAACGTCCCTAAATATCTTTCGATTTGCACGAAATTTGGCACAGATTAATAATTCAGGGCTAGAATGATGTGTGTTAAGTTTCCTGAAAATCGGTTCAGATTTAGATATAGCTCCAATATGTATTTTCTATAGTGTACTGAATTAAGCCTGGAATAATGTCTGCTAAGTTTCGTGAAAATCGGTTCAGATTTAGATATAGCTCGCATTGATGTATACGATGTTTTGTTGAAATTGGTTCAGATTTATATAGCTCATATATAGTTTTGTCCGATTTTAGGTAAATGGAGCACCAAACTTCCGATATTATTCAGATTGAGACAAAATTTTGCACAGTGTACTATATTAGGTCCAGTTTGATGTGCGTGAAGTTTTGATGAAATCGGTTCAGTTTTAGATATATTTCTCCCATATATAGTTTATCCGATTATATGTAAGTGGTGCATCAAAATCCCAATATTTGTCTGATTGAGACAAAATTAAGTCCTGTTTGATATTTATGAAGTTTTGATGAAATTGGTTCAGATTTAGATATTGCTCCCATATATAGTTTCGTCCATATACACGAGATAAAATTGTGGACAGCGCTCTGTGTGCTGCAGCATACCAAACGATATATGCCACGGTTGCTCAATTAGGTCCAGATTTGCATATAGCTCCACATACATTATTTTGCTCTATTTACAAAAAATAATCCGATTGGCAAACAGTTTTTCATAGATTTCAGAATGGTATGAGCATTGAGTTTTTTACTTGGTTCAAGTATCTATGTAGATCACACATTTAATTTCACCCCATTTCATTTCAATGGTCCTCTAAAGATTATATGTCTGTTCTATCTACAGGATATTGTATATATTAGCATCTCTTGTATGTATCCAAAGTGGCGAAGGGTATCATATACTCGGCTCCGTCCGACTTTTGAACTTTCCTTACTGGTTTTTTTTACGTGTGTTAGCCAGTGTTGACTAGAGAAACCCGCTTGTTCAATATTGTTGTTGATCTAGTTACTTCACACCCCAAAAAGGAATACAAAATAGTCTGTGGGATTTTTTTTTTGTCAATTGAAAAAGTAGTCTACGCACATCATACTAATTCAGTTGTTACTGGTAATGCAAAGGGTAATGAATCGACTATCGAAATGATTGTATACTGGTAACGCCGGCAGGGGACAATTGACTTCCCGAATGACATACAAATGTTAAATTAACCAGTCTAGGGCATGCAGTGGTAACTAGTGGTACTTACAGGTAATTAGTAAAATATCTAGTTCATCGCCAGTTACTCGAACAACTGGGAATATTTAAAAAAATCTTTGTGTAGATATTTGAAACATAATTTGTAATAATTCCTCCACTTGTGTATCAATACTCTAACGGCAACTCTATTAAAATACTCTTCAATTGTCTCCCTTTCTCTTAAATTCTGCTACAAATAATTATAATTATCTCCCGTTAACTGCTAACCTTTTCTACTATAGTCTAGGCTCCCTCGTTCTCTTATGCTCTTTAAATATTCTCCGAGTACAACTGTTTTGTTTGCATTGTAGTAGAAATAGTGATATTGTTGTTGTTGGTTGTAACATTGCTACAAGGAATTTCACTTTTTATTTTGACAATACACTACACTCACGCACATCAACACACATACACAGTCTCACTGCATAACAAATCCCGTTGTGTAGTATTTAGTTGTTGTTTGTACGTTTGGTAAAGAGGACAACAACAGCAGCAATTGCTGTTGTCTATTGTTGCTGGCCACACTAAAAGAGACGGAAAGAAAGAGAGAAAGAGTATGTGTGTGTGAGAGAGAGCATGCTTTACTCAGGAAATGCCTGGCATTTAGAACTAGTCGTAGTAGCAATGAGTTTGTTTATGTTTTGTGATGGAAATGCCGCCGGAATTGTGTTGTATTGTTGTTCGCATAGAAGAAGCACACACAAACACACATGTGCACACACACACACACACATAGTGAAATATTTAAATAACGTTTAACAAATGATTGAATAAACGATTTATTAGAATGATTATCTTCAATTGTTGTATTTTATTTTAAATGATAATGATGAAGATGGTGGTGAGGAGAAGAGTGATTAAAAAATTAATTAATTATTTTAATAATAAAATAAATTTTAATTTTTTTCCTTCTTCTTTTTTCTCTTTACAGATTTTAACGCAATATTTTTACTATTACAATTTTATGCTGAATGCAATCCCATTGAAATTTTGTAGAAATATTTTCATTATCAAACGAAAATTGAAATTACTTAAGGAAAAATGAATTTTTCACCATTTGGTAATCCATTTCCCGGTACCATACCGGGTATAGCACAATTTACCACCACAACAACACCATTGGTATCCACGGCAACGTCCGATGCGGCGGCGGCCGTGGCCACGGTTACCTCAACGGCAACATTGCAACAGCAGCAACAGGACAATGCCGCAGCTGCTGCTGTGGTGGCGGCCAGCAATCGTTATCAGCAGCAACAACAGCAGCAGCAACAACAACAGCAGCAGCAACAACAACAGCAACAAAGTACCTCTACAATTAGTATGACCCATTTCAATCAGCCTGCCATACAAGTTGCTACCGCCACTGCATTGCCAGCGAAGTTCCGCACCAGCAACGATGGTGTGGATGGTGACAAATATAATGGGCACATGGTTACCCTGACAACGACGGGTACGCCGGGCTCGGCCAGTGGTAATCAACAACAGCAGCAACAGGCCCAACAACAGCAACAACAACAAACCACACAATATACCGCCACCATACCCGCCTACAATCAACAAACCGAAGACAAACGTTTGGTCCAAGCAGCCATTGCCTATCCCCAGAGTACAATAACAGCTTCCACATCGGCGGCGGCCGCTGCCACAGCCTTAGGTTTACAACAGGCCCAATTGCAGCCGGGCACATCGTCGCAAACGACACAGTTGCAGGCACAGCTGACGGCGCCGCAGGAGTTAACTCAGGATCTCTGCAATGCGATATTGCAACAACAAGGTGTGGATTCAAAACGTGGTGAGTTATAATAGTCTAAGACCGGGTTCAGATGTAGATGTAGAGCAAATAGGAGAACGAACAAAAAATGCCGATGTGTTGTGGGTTTGTATTCAAGGGGTCAGAAAGAGGACGAAAAATACACAACGGAAGACAAAAAGGGGTTCAAGTCATACAAACTTATATCCTCAGATACGGGGTTCAAAAATGTTCATAGAAAATTCCACAGGGCCCTGAGGACCCTCTGACCTCTGAGGGATTTTTCTATAAAAAGTCTCTTAAAGGTCCTCAGGTTGGGACTTTAGGAATTTATTTTTCTATAGAAAAAAGTACACCTCCTTAGGATCTTTTTCTATAGAAAAGTAAAGAGAACTCCTCAGGGTCCCGAGGATTTTTTTTGTATAGCAAAAAGGACTCCTCAGGGTTCTGAGGATTTTTTTTAGAAAAAAGGACTCCTCATGGTCCTGAGGAATTTTTTCTATAGGAAAAAGGACCCATTAGGGTCGTGAGAAATTTTTTCTCAGGGTCCTGAGGAATTTTTTCTATAGAAAAAAGGACTCCTCAGGGTCCTGAGGTTTTTTTTTCTATAGAAAAAAGGACTCCTCAGGGTCCTGAGGAATTTTTTTCTATAGAAAAAAGGACTCCTCAGGGTCCTGAGGAATTTTTTTCTATAGAAAAAAGGACTCCTCAGGGTCCTGAGGAATTTTTTTCTATAGAAAAAAGGACTCCTCAGGGTCCTGAGGAATTTTTTTTCTATAGAAAAAAGGACTCCTCAGGGTCCTGAGGAATTTTTTTCTATAGAAAAAAGGACTCCTCAGGGTCCTGAGGAATTTTTTTCTATAGAAAAAAGGACTCCTCAGGGTCCTGAGGAATTTTTTTCTATAGAAAAGAGGACTCCTCAGGGTCCTGAGAAATTTTTTTCTATAGAAAAAAGGACTCCTCAGGGTCCTGAGGATTTTTTCTATAGAAAAATGTGTCCTCAGGGTCCTGAGGAATTTTTTTCTATAGAAAAAAGGAGTCCTCAAGGGTCCTGAGGAATTTTTTTCTATTCTATAGAAAAAAGGACTCCTCAGGGTCCTGAGGAATTTTTTTCTATAGAAAAAAGGACTCCTCAGGGTCCCGAGGAATTTTTTTCTATAGAAAAAAGGACTCCTCAGGGTCCTGAGGAATTTTTTTCTATAGAAAAAAGGACTCCTCAGGGTCCTGAGGAATTTTTTTCTATAGAAAAAAGGACTCCTCAGGGTCCTGAGGAATTTTTTTCTTGTATAGTCCTTAAAAAAGGACTCCTTGTATAGGGTCCTAAAGGAATTTTTTTGTATAGGTCCTTAAAAAAGGACTCCCAGGGTCCTGAGGAATTTTTTTCTATAGGTCCTTGAAAAAACTCCTCAGGGTCCTGAAATTTTTTCCTTATAAAAAAAGGACTCCTCAGGGTCCTGAGGAATTTTTTTCTATAGAAAAAAGGACTCCTCAAGGTCCTGAGGATTTTTTTTCTATAGAAAGGTCCTTAAAATAAATTCCTTTAAAAAATCCACGCCTTGTGTAGGTCCTTAAAATAAATTTCTTTTAAAAAATCCACGCCTTGTGTAGGTCCTTAAAATAAATTCCTTTAAAAAATCCACGCCTTGTGTAGGTCCTTGAAAAAATATTTCTTTAAAAAATCCAGACTTCAAAAGACAGGATAATCTTAGTATAGATCTAGATTTAAAAAAAGGACCGCTGAATATTTTTTTTTAATAATTTTTACCCCAAGGATCCAAAAACTAAATTCTCTCTCTTTTTTCTCTTCTCTCTCTCTCCTCTCTCTCAGTGTTACAAAATACCTCATGGCAATCGCTGACGCCCGGCACCACAGTTGCCGATTATCTGTCACATCTTCCGGCCAATACGTTGCCACTGTCGTTGCATCATTTTCTAAAATATTCCGCTGAAAATATTAAAAAAGAAAATCAAAATGTAGTAAGTACTGAAACTGAAACTGAAATGACGGTTGGCAGTTCAGACAAACAAACAACTCCTGCGGCCATCAATTATTTTCTTTTCGAACTTCCCCAGGTCTTACAGGTACAAACGGGACCACCGCTCGGTTTGAATACCATAACGGGGGCGACGACCATAACGATACCTCAGCAACAGCTGCAACAAGTTACCGCAACGTTGCAAGACCAACAACAACAGCAGCAACAACAACAACAAACAGTTGCCGGTGTTCTGCAGGCAGCCAGTCAATTACAGACCCAAGTAACGGTGGGTAACCTCACCGGGGCCATACAAACCCTGCAGCAGCAACAACAACAGCAACAGGCTACCACAAGTGGCACAGCTACTGCAACAGGGCAACCCCAAGCCACCACTTCCACCAGCACTGGCACGACCAGCAAACGCAAGAAGCGAAAAAAGCGCGTCAAGGAACGCAAACCCAAACCACGGCCCGGCGAAGTTCGTCTAATCACCGCCCTAGACGGCAGCCCCCTCTACATGTGTCCCGAATGTCAAGTCTGCTATCCGGAACCTGAACTGCTGGAAATCCATCTGGTGGGCCACAATGCCGAACGCCGTTATATCTGTGATATTTGTCAAGCCACCCTCAAGCGTAAAGACCACTTGACCCGACACAAGCAGTCACATAATCCCGAACGGCCCTTCATCTGTACCGTTTGCCTGAAGGCATTCAAGCGAAAAGAACAGCTGAGCCTGCATTTTGTCATTCATTCGGGTGAGAAGCGCCATTTGTGTCAGGAATGTGGCAAAGGTTTCTATCGCAAGGACCATTTGAGGAAACACACCCGATCGCATATAGCAAGGCGGGTCAAAGCGGAGCTCACGTTGCAAAATGAAAGTGAAAATGGTACAAGTATGTTGCAACCGGTTGCGGGGGCATTGGCGGCGGTACAGGCAACGTTGCAACAAGTTCAGCAACAACAGCAGCAACAACAACAACAGTCACAAACTCAACAACAACAACAGCAGCAGCAACAACAGACCTCACAAACTCAGCAGGTGCAACAGATACAAACCCAACAACTACAACAACATCATGTGGTAGTCACTCAGCAGCAGCAACAACAACAGCAGCAGCAGCAGAATCCTCAGCAACAAATGCAAATGCCTAATTAGCCCCCACCTGGTGGTGGGGGAGGCAGTGTCACACAACAGGAATTTTGTAAAGTTAGTTAGTGTTGTTTTCTCTCAGCCACCGCCCCCTCCCCCCGCAGTTTATTTTACCTCCATGCTGTTCCATTGTACATTTGTTATTAAATATTCAGTTCATAAAGATTTGCACATGTATACGATATCCAGAGATGCGTTGTTCCGAGCCACCATTGTATTGTATTAAACAGATGCCAGAGATGGAAAGTTTTCATTAGAAAATTCAACAGATTCTCTTTAATCTCCCATATCTTCTCTTCGAATTACTCCGCCATTTATTGGTATTTTAAAAAGTATTCTTTAAAACCTCCTCGAAAAAATATTCTTTAAAATAGTCAAATAAAAAAATAGACGCTCGAAGGACCAATTCGAAACCATATTTAATAAAAAAAAATCGCCTTCGAAAAAATATCTACGCTTGAAGGACCATTTCGAACCAATTTCATTATTAACTCCCTCTTTTGGTCCTTTGAAAAATATTCACTAAACATCCACGCTCAAAGGACCACCTTTGAACCAAATCATTAAAAAAATATTCATTAAAATTACGCGCTATTAGATCTTGAAAAATAAATATATCCCAGGACCAATTAAAAAAAAATATTAAATATTCCGCGCATATTGGCCCTTTGAACCAATATTTTCCAAAAATCGACAATCGAAGGACCATTAAAAATATACACGCTTTTTGGTACTTCGAACAAATCTTCATTAAAAAAATCGAATATTATTGCTACTATAAAACAATCACGCTCGAAGGACCAATTCGAAAAAGTATTCATAAAAAAAACGCTCTCCGAAGACTAATTCGAAAAAATATTCTTAAAAAAATTCATAATAGAATAACCAATTCGAAAATTATTTATTAAAATGTCCACTTCTTTTATTAGTCATTCAAAAAATATTATTTAAAAAATCACGCTTTGTGGTCATTAGAAATACTCTTCACGAGAAGGACCAATCCAAAAACGTAATTTGCAATAAAAAACCAGTAAGGGAAGTAGTAAAGTCGGTCGGGGCCGACTGTATGATACCCTTCACCACTATGGGTATATTAAACAGATGCATTCTAACAGACCTTTATCTAAATGTGAAACGACATAGATCAATCCATAACCACGACCTCGGTCGGAAATATATATGGACTATATCTGAACTTTTACAAAACGCAATTATGTCATTCTATGCTCAATTTTAAGCATTGTTCAAAATTTCATGTCAAAATTACAAACATCGGTGCACCATAAAATCAGATTAAAATAGATATGAAAACAATCTGAATCGATTTTCAAGAAATTTTACACACATCATTCTAGACCTAATTTAGTACTCTGTGCCGAATTTTGTCCAAATCGAAGGATATATAGGGACTTTGGTATGCCATTTACATTAAATCGGGCGAACATATATATGGGAGCTATACCTAAATCTGAACCGATTTTTACGAAATTTAACACTCATCCTTCTAGACTTAATTCAGTACTCTGTGCCAAATTTCGTGCAAATCGAAAGATATATATGGAGCTATATATATGGGAGCTATATCTAAATCTGAACCGATTTTCAGGAAACTTAACATACATGATTCTCGAACTTATTCATTACGCTATGCCAAATTTCGTGCAAATCGAAAGATATATAGGGACTTTGGTACATCATTTACATAAAATCGGGCGAACATATATATGGGAGCTATATCTAAATCTGAACCGATTTTCCGGAAACTTAACATACACCATTCTAGACCTAATTCATTATGCTTTGCCAAATTTCGTGCAAATCGAAAGATATATAGGGACTTTGGTACACCATTTACATAAAATCGGGCGAAACTATATATGGAAGCTATATCTAAATCTAAACCGATTTTCACGAAATTTAGCACACATCGTTCTAGAATTAATTCAGTACGCTGTGCCAAATTTCGTCCAAATCGAAAGATATATAGGGATTTCGGCGCACTATTTACCTTTAATCGGACGAAAATATATATGGGAGCTATATCTAAATCTGAACCGAAATTTAACACATATCTTCCCAGGCTTAATTTAGTACTCTGTGCCAAATTTCGTGCAAATCAAATGGCATAAAGGGACTCTATTGCACCATTTACATAAAATCGGACGAACATATATATAGGACCCTAACCGATTTTCACGAAATTTAACACACATAGTTCTAGACTTAATTCGGTACGCCAAAATTCGTGCAAATCGATAGATATATAGGGGCTTTGGTGTACCATTTACATAAAATCGGACGAAACTATATATGGGAGTTATATCTAAATCTAAACCAATTTTCTCCAATTTCAATAGGGTTCGTCCTTGGGTCAAATAAGTGAACTGTGCCAAATTTCATCCAAATCGGATCATAAATGCAACCTTTACTTTGTTAACAAAAACATGCGTAAATCGGCTCAGAAAGTGATTCTATGCATATTCTCAAAGGGAACCATGGGTCTATCTCGATTCATTTTGCCTGTTACAAACATATGCACAAAGACATAATACGCCGTGCCACAGTGTGGTGAAGGATATAATATATATATATATATATTCATTAAATATCCACGCTTAATGGTCCTTCAAAAAATTGTCATTAAAAACAACACTCGAAGGACAAATATGAAGATATAATTTTACGAAATATTGCCTAAGAAATTCACGCTGAATGGCCCTTCGAAAATAATATTCTTAAAAAAAATCCACGACCTTTGGAAAAATATTCCTTTAAATATCAACGCTTATTGGTTCTATCAAAAAAATATTCACACTCGAAGGACCAATTCATTAAACCAATAAGCGGAGCAGTATATAGTCCTTAAACTTCATTAGGAGTTCGCAAAATTTCGTAGCTAAATTTTGGTTTTAGTCGGATTTTCCCAAAGAAGAGGTTGTAATTGGGTATTGCGGGTTCTTAAAATGTGAAAATATCTTTGCAGAATTTTTCAGTCTATATCTACATCATCGCGCCTTATTTTCCGTATTATCACGGTTTCAGGTCATTTTTTTTTCAATGAAGTGGTTTTTAGAACATGTTCCTCATTTTGAAGGTTTTAGTCGCATTTTCAAGAGAAGTGTCTGTAGTTTGGAATTACGGGTTGTTGTAATGCTTAAAAATATTTTTGCAGGATATGTCCAACATAAGTCTATGCTTGAATAACCTCATGAGCATATACGCACTTTGCTACGGCAAATATGTGATTCATCGAAATATTGGTTTAAGGCCCCATGTTTTTTTTTTTTGACCAAATTCGTTTCAGACAATTTAAAGTCGATTTACAAATGTCCGTCTGCCTTGCTGGCTATTACGCACGGTAGCTATCGAAGGGAGTAACCAATTTCATTCAAACTTTGCACATCGTAATATTTCTTCCAAACCTAAATAAAGTTCAAAGATGGGGAATACCTGTCCGCTCCTTATGATGCCTCACCTACAAAATTGTCAAAATGTTGCTGAAAATTAATTTTATAACAGCAGTCGAATGGATTATCCGATTCGTACCAAACTTTGCACAACCAAACATGACTGTATAATGTCGGATGATAGGAATTATCAGTTTGCTCCTTTTAGGTAAAATAATAAAGGTAAAAATATTTACAATTTGTAAATCTTATATGAAGCGAACGGAATATCTAATCTCATCGAAACTTTCCACGTCGTAAGACACATATCAACACAAATAACTGAATATCAAGCTAATGGAATGTCCGATTTTATCCAAACTTGGAAAATCGTAATACTTTTACCAAACATAGATCAAGGCCGAATATGGGAACCATTGTTCCACCCTCTTTGGTACTTCCTAGATCTCTACAAATAATAGACAACACCGACTGATACTTTTTTACCTTTCTAATTATTATACCCTCTGCCACCTGAAAACCCTTTCTCACCTGAGAACCCTAAAATTTTTCTGGATAGAGCTCGCAATATTTAACATAGGGTTTTAACATTATGCCAATACATCACTTATACATATATGATTTTTTCCTATTTAGTATTAGGATTCTGTCGGTCCATGTTTTGGAATTTGGAAAATGTCCCTACCAAAAATATAAAATTTGGAAAGTCCCCAAGGTAGGTACCTTCTAATTTTTTTTTGACGACCTTGACCAAATTCTTCAACCGTATCGCCTCTAATTTGGTATTTTGTGATATCATTGGATATAAATAATTATTACCAAAAATCAATCGATATTGTTCCACATTTAAAGGTAGCCTGCCCACCTCCTGTAGCCTCCATAAAGGTCCCGATTGTTTACGTATTTTGAATATTCACCTCATGGAGGATGGTATAAAAAGTTCACCGCTGTGTTCATATATCCTCCACAGCAGTGTATAGCTGCCTGTATTCTACAACATTTTAACGTTTGTTATAAAAAAGTTGTGAGCTCATAGTTGTGAGGACATGACAACTATTTAATGTTGTCGTTCTATACCCCTCTCTATTCTCAAATAAATTAAATTTCAGATTTCCATCTCTGGATTTATTTTTATACCCTTCACCACTCTGTGGTACAGGGTATTATGTCTTTGTGCATATGTTTGTAACAGGCAAAAGGAATCGAGATAGACCCATGGTTCCTTTTGAGAATATGCATAGAATCACTTTCTGAGTCGATTTATGCATGTCCGTCCGTCCGTCTGTCCGTCCGTCTGTAGATGTTAAATTGTAAACAAAGTACAGGTCGCATTTATGATCCGATTTGGATGAAATTTGGCACAAGTCACTTATTCGGCCCAAGGACGAACCCTATTGAAATTGGGAAAAATCGGTTCAGATTTAGATATAGCTCCCATATATATTTAACCGATTTAATGTAAACGGTCCCTATATGTCTTTCGATTTGCACGAAATTTGGTACAGCCTAATCATTTAGGTCTAGAATGATGTCTGCCAAGTTTCATGAAAATCGGTCCAGATTTAGATATAGCTCCCATATATAGTTTCGTCCAATTTCATGTAAATGGTGCACCAAAGTCTCTATATATCCTTCGATTTGCACTAAATTAGGTATAACGTACTTAA